TTCACAAACTCATCTATTCTTCATCATTGGTAGAAGTTTTCTTTGCCAACACTTTGATTTAAGTGTAAATCTGTCTTCATACTTAACTTGCATATTTAATTCTAGTTTATACTTTGTATTCATATCTTGTGTATTGTATTGTTTTAAGACAATATCGAAAAAGTTTTAAAAACCAATTCATCCCCCTCTTGGTTAGTTATTCTTGGGTTATCATTGTGATCATTGGATGAGTCCGAAGAGGCAATGGACCAGATGGGGCAATAGGCTCTGGTGAAGCAACTGTTTTGGACAGGGCTAGACGATGTCAGTAGCATGGTGGGCTGTTGATCAAGGTGAATGGTGGACTCGGCCATGGGTTGGATAGATGGAGTAATAAAGGTGTATGGGAAAACTAATTCATCAAACATGACATGGCGTGTAATATAGATATCATTAGATGTGAGATCAAGGCATTTGTAGGCACTTTGAGAAATAGAATATTCAATGAAGATACATGGTTTGGATTTTGGGTCAAGCTTGTGATTGTTAAATGGTTTAAGCTATAAGGAAAACATAAACAACCAAAGGTCAGTAGTTTTAGGTAACTGGGTAATGTATCAAAGAGGCGAGTGAAAGGTGGTTTGTGGCCTTGTGTAGTGGGGAGGCGGTTGATAAGATAAACCGCGGTTTGAAATGCAACAGTCCAATATTTGGTAGGCATGTAGGCTTGGGTGATGAGGGTTTGATTGGTCTCAACAATGTGGCGATGTCATCTTTTAGAAAGGCCATTGTGTTGTGGAGTGTGGGGGTGCTGTAAAATGACCTATTCTGAGTCCTGTATATTCACCACCGTTTTCACTGTACAAATTTTCAATGTGTCGGCTGAATTTCTTTTCAAGGAGGACATGTAATTGGGGAAATTTTTTACCAACTTCTTATTTTTGATACATGGGAAAGAACTAACAATAACGTGTCAAATGATCAATGAATATAACATAGTATTTGTGGCCCTCATGAGATGGGATAGATGCCAGTCCTCAAACATTAGAGTAAATATATTCAAGTGGAGAAGTTGTATGGATGGTACTAATATGAAAAGGCAATTGATGGCTTTTATTAATATGACAAGGATGACAAGCATGTGACATAATTGGAGTGCTTAATGGAAGAGAATACTGTGAAATTATTTTATAGACTAGACAGTGGTGAGGGTGCCCCAGACGACGATGCCAAATGACACTGGAGGTTCTCTCATCGACATTGGCCACAATGGGAATCAGCAGGTCTGGTAGCATGGTAGGTAATGGGTAAATTCCTGTTCACACCTTCCTCGAAGTAGAATCACCCCCGTTGTCCGATCCTTCACCAAACAATAATCAAGTTGAAACTCAATTACTACATTATAATTTTTGGTGAATCGATGCACATAGATAAGATTTTTATGAAAATTCGGAACACATAATGTTTCATTAAGTTTAAAATCATGAGTAGGCAAATGTAAAACAAGAGAGCCAATATGAGTAACGGGTATACCTGAACCATAACCAATTACCATAGCGTCAGTGACATCATACTTAGAATAGGTAGATAGATTACCAATCTTTGAGGTAATATTATAAGAGGCATATAGTCTAGCAACCATTTTGTAGACTTTCCTTTGGAGCGGCCAGCACAATTAGCCAAAGTAGTCTTTAGTTTTGGACGATATTTGGCATTGTGTCCAATATCATCACAATACTAACAGGTGGGCTTACGCGGGGCTTGTTGAATCGGTGGGACTGCTGGTCAATTGACGAAGGGCGAGTGTAATGGGGGCCAGAGAAACGGGATGTCGAACCCCATCACGTGTGCAGTAGGATTAGCAGTCACCACAAAAGATGCGGATGAGGCCTCAAGGCGCATAAGATAGACTTCACGACTAAGTAGTATGTCATGGAGTTTTTCAAAGGACAAGGATGATTCCCTGGTGCGAATGAGAGCAACCACATCCCAGAATTCTGGCCCCAAAATGTGGAGTACATAAAGTGTGATATTATCAGTGAAAAGAGGGAATTAGATGATGCTTAGTTCATCTACTGTAGTCTTCACAGCTTGCATATATTCGGA